ACCAGTATTCAAAGTGCTGGCTTTAGCCTATAAAGTCGTAAACAGTTCTGGACCAACTTACCTGTCCGAACACATCTCCTCCTATGAACCAGTTAGGAGTTAAGATCGTCTGGGGAGGCCCTGCTCTCGGTCCCGCCTGCATCACAAGTACAGTTGGCGGGGACGAGAGACAGGGCCTTCTCAGTGGTGGCCCCTCGGTCTGTGGAATGCCCTTCCTACAGAAATTAGATCGGCCCCCTCCCTGTTAGCATTTCGGAGGAAAGTGAAGACCTGGTTGTTCAAGCAGGCATTTGAATAGGCAGTGTAACGAATATAGGAATATGGAACAATTGGATGATGAGACTGGATCTTGATTTTAACTATGAGACGATAATGAGATGTTATGATGTTTAATTGATTGTTATAATGCTATTGTTTTAATTGTTTTTAACTGTTTTATGATGTTTTAAGCATTGAATTTTGCTATTGTGAACTGCTCTGAGTCGCCCGAGGGCTGAGAAGAGCGGTATACAAATATAATAAATAATAAATAAAACAATAATATTCAAATTCGGGCATATTGGGTATTTGTACCAAATTTGGATACAGTGAATGAAAATACATGTCAGACATTGCATATCAGATATTTACATTACGATTAATAACAGTAGCAAAATAACAGTTATGAAGTAGTGTTCTGTCGCGCGCTGGGCTCTAAAGAATTTCCTTTAGAACAGGACGTGCAACCTTTGCCCAGCAGGAAGCCAGGGGGCCCAAGGAGAAGTTCTCAGAGGTTTTCCACCACAAATGAGCTTTAGATGGCTTGTGAGGTATAACAAAGTATTTTATTAATGAACAATCAAACAGAAACTTCTCTTGTCTTCAGAAAGTTAAACAAATGATTCCAGGCTTTTATGCAACTGGTAGCTTCCTAAACTTGCCCACGAAGGACAGGCAACTGTCTTCAATAACTTCTTCTTTACTTTAAAGGAAAGTCCCCTTTTTAAGTTCTCCCAGGCTGACTGTAATCTAACCCTTACTGATGTGGGCTCCGCTACCGGGTCGAACTGCTTCTCGAACACTGAGTGGACCTACCAGTAAAGGCTTAGATATGTGGGCTCCGCTACTGGGTCGAACTGCTTCTCAAACACCGAATGGACCTACCACTAAAGGCTTAAATGCTCTCCAGCTGGAGTTCTTTGGCTTTTAGGGCTGAAGCCTTTGTACAGGAGAAGTCTGTACACGTCCTGTACATTGACTTTCCTTGCTGAGACTGACTGAAAATGGCTCCCTTCCCTTCACAATTGTCCTGAACAGGGGGCGGAACCAAACTTAACGATGATGGACAGGGGGCCTGCCCTATAACTGCAAACTTTAACAGGAAGCCACCCTTCTGCAGAATCCCAAGCCTTGGGCTGCAAGCAAACACTTAATACAAAGCAAATGAAGTGGGAGCTTCTGGTACAGCTGTACCAGCACAAGTAGCAACAAAAATAATTTATGGTTAGCATGAGGAACTGTATTAGGAAGGTTGAGAAACACTGCCTTCAAGTAATTCAAGCTGGCAGCCATATCTATATGTTGCAGCAGCAAATTCTATAATCTGGCTTTCGGAATACAAGCGGAATATATTTTAATTGCTACTAAGCAGTAATCGGTTTCTTTGCACAACGTTCAGCCATAGAAAGAGAATAACTACAGCTTTTACAATAAGCTGAAATCACGAAAATCGGATCTCATAATCTAATAAGGATAAACCCAGACAGATGTCAATTTTTAAACAAACTTATATACATTTCAAATCTTCTAAGCATGTTAAGCGCTTTATGAAATACAAATACTCATAATATGTTTCCTAGGCAGTGTGTAATATGGCTTGAACATAAGTATTTCCGGGTCTCTGAAAGGCCAGGGCTTGGCCATTGCAGCTCACTAAGTGACCTTGGCCAGGTCGGACTCCGTCGTCTGTAGAGGAAAATAGTCTGATTCTCTCTGACTAAATTTTTCTGGGGCCATCATAAGTCAGAGGTGACTTGAAGGCATCTAACCAGAAGGCTAGAAAAGTCTGCCACTGCCCTGTCAAATGGATAAGGCCTTCAGGAATACACAAATCTTTCCTCCCTGAGGAAATATAGAAAAAGAGGGGGAAAAAGTCTTGTTTGTTGCTAGTTGATGTAGATAGAAATGTTAGGGATCCTTGTTTTGAAACCCTGTTAGTTCAGAATGCTCTTTGATTCTAGGTGAACTATAAATCCCAGCAACTACAACTCCCACGTGTCAAGGTATATTTTCCCCAAACTCCACCAGCATTCACATTTGGGCATATTGAGTATTCATGCCAAGTTTCATCCAGATCCATTTTTGAGTCTACAGGACCTTCTGGATGTAGATGAACTACAACTCCAAAACTCAAGGTCAATGCCTACCAAACCCTTCCTGTATTTTCTGTTGGTTATGGGAGTTCTGTGTGCCAAGTTTGGTTGAATTCAATCACTGGTGGAGTTCACAAAGCTCTTTGATTGTAGGTGAACTATAAATCCCAGCAACTACAACTCCCAAATGACAAAATCAATCCCAGCCCCATCCCCAACAGTATGCAAATTTGGGGACATCGGGTATTTGTGCCACATTTGGCCCAGTGAATGTGAATACATCCTGCATATCAGATGTTTACATTATGGGTTGTTGTAGGTTTTTTCGGGCTATATGGCCATGTTCTAGTGGCATTTTCTCCTGACATTTCACCTGCATCTATGGCAAGCATCCTCACTACCTCTGTGGCACTACCTCACTACCACAACCCAGTGATTCCGGCCATGAAAACCTTCGACAATACAGTTTACATTACAATTCATAACAGTATCAAAAATACAGTTATGAAGTAGCAACGAAAATAATTTGATGGTTGGGGGTCACCATGACATGAGGAACTGTATTAAGGGGTTGTGGCATTAGGAAGGTTGAGAGACTCTGCCTTAGATTAAACACTTTCAACCATGATAGCCAGATATTTGCTTTGCAAAACATGAAACTCTCAGGAATATATATCCAGTAACATAATTTATTTTTTCAAAAACTTTTTAAAATGTCAATACATCAACAAAAAGCTGATATTTCACTTCTCTTCATGCATCTCAAACATTTGATTTAGTTACTTCCATAGATGATATCCTTTTGAGGAATAGACATGAATGAATTGATTTTTTTTTCCTAGCAGTCACTGAATTTGTTAGATTATATGTGTTCTTTAATCAATTATGCTCGCATCTTGGAAATTAATTTTCAATCAGAGGAAGCAGTTTTTAGTACATTTTAGGGAGATGACAGACTTCCTTTGTAGCACAAAAAATTTAAATGCTCAGATTCTGTTATTCCATGGAACCATAATCTCAAAGCACTTTCGACAGTCCAATGTGTGGCGTACAGACATCAACTCTTCATAGACTTCATCAACTCTTATCTAGAAAAGATAACCCACTATCCAAATTAATTCATAGGCACTCATTTGGAGAGTGGGTTATCTTTTCTAAAACTTTCTGTGTTATTCTCTCTGTGCATATTCTTTTGAATTAAGTTTTCTTTCTTTCTCCTCTGTTATCATATAACTTTGGCGCAATTATAAAGAGATGTACAATTATAAAGAAACTTTAGTAGAGTGGTGGGAAACATAGGCAGGTTTTCCAGAGCTACTTATTTGCAAACATGCTTTCTTTATTTCTTGATTGTCTTTGCTATTTCTTCATACCACAGTTTGTTTATTTATTTATTATTTACAGTATTTATATTCCGCCCTTCTCACCCCGTACGGGACTCAGGGAGGCTTACAATGTACACATATATGGCAAACATTCAATGCCACACACACACAACATTTATAGACAGACACATAGAAGCCATTTAACATGCCAGCTTCCTGAGGGTATTCTGGCCACCAAAGGAGCTGTCGCTTCACCGTCCATTTGTGACACTGATGGAGTACTTCCTCATTCTTTGCATGCTTGCTGGAGATTTTTATGGCGTCATAAATTAGTTAAATTAGCCTCCCTGCATAAGTGGCACCTAAATTTCCTACTTGACAGATGCAACTGTCTTTCGGGCTGCAAAGGTCGACAGCGAGCTATACAATGGTTGGAAGCTCACTCTGACTCGAACTGGCTTTGAACTCAGTAGTAATTGAATGCAGCTGACTTCCAGCCAGCTGTGCTACAGTCCCAGTCGTATCAAGAGCAAACCAAACAGTTGTATTGTATTTTTTTAAAAAAACCAAAGTTTGCAAACTTGGCATTGTATTAAATATCCTTTGACCAGTAGCTGGCCATTTGGAGTGCCTCTGGTGTTGCTATAAGAAGGTTCTCCATTGCGCATATGGCAAGGCTCAGGCTGCATTGTAATAGGTGGTCTGTGGTTTGCTCTTCTCCACACTCACATGTCATGGACTCCACTTTGTAGCCCCAAACTTGCAGCATATCACGGTGACAAGTATTTAGACTGCAGGAAAACTGTTATCCTCAGCCTTCATAATGCCTTCCTAAATTCCAGCTGTTCTCTTCCTATCTGGTTGTGTTTACTCATCTTGATATAATCATGAACTTCAGCAGTATGTTTCTCTGGAGGCTCTAGGCTTTGTGTCCTCGGAAGAACTTCATCCAGATCTATGAAGAATCCCTTCTAGCAGTAGATGATCTCCTTTGTATTAGGTTTGGAGGGAAGGGAAGGGAGGTCATGGCTGAGGATGTCTAGGGAGCCGCCAAGACCTAAACAGGGGACTCTGGCTGTGAAACTCAGGTGCAGCTTTAAATAGGCGCAGACGTGTATTCTGTGCATCTTTCCCACCCAGCATCAAGATCTTTTTTTTACACATACTGCTGTCGAGCCAGGCATTGTCCCCCATTCTGTATCTTTGCATTTCGTTTTTTTCTGCCTAAGTGGAGTATCTTGCATTTGTCCCTGCTGAACTTCATTTTGTTAGTTTTGGCCTAGCTCTCTAATATGGGCAACCATCTCTCCCTTTCACTCTGCAGGAAGGCCAGCAACTGATCGAAGAGAAGCCGGAGCTTGCGGAAACGGTTCGGAAGAAACTGGGCGAGATCCGGCAGTGCTGGGCAGAGCTGGAGTCCACCACGCAAGCCAAAGCCCGGCAGCTGCTGGAAGCCACCAAGGCTGACCAACTGGTGCAGAACTACACTGACCTCGACAAGCGGCTGCTCCGAATGGAGAGCCAGGTGCATATGATTGATCCTGGGCCAGACTTGACCAGTGTCAACAGCAACCTCAAAAAGCTACAGGTAAGTTTGGGAGCTGGAGACTGGGAGTGCATTGATGTGTCCATCCTTGCAGGACATCAAGAAGAGAGATGGTTGTTAGCATCTAGGATGTAGGGCTCTAGCTTTGGAGAGGAATGTGGAGTATAGATGGCACAACTATACAAATGACATCCTGAGTTGTGATTGGGTCTCTGGCAGTTGTTCCTGTATACAACCAGGAATCAGAAGGATACTCTGCGCTAGTGATTCCCCATCCTGTAGTAGAAAATAATGAGTTGCAGGTCTTTTAACTGGGCTGAGGGGAGGGAAGTGCCATCTTTCAGTTGTTACATACCCTACTAGGTGACAATTCCCTTGTGACGGTGGTGGGAGCGAGAGGAGAGCCTCTCCTGATAATTGTGGGCTGGTAGGAGGAGATGTGGTCCCTCAAGTAGGTTGGGCCCGAACTGTTTTGGACTTTATAGGCTTGAGCGCTCTAGCTGGAGGTGGGACTAGCAGTGCTGTAGAAACGTGCCAAGAGGAAGGCGCGTCAAGCCAACCCCCACCGGGACCTCCTTCCACCTGGAAACCAATGCCCTCACTGCAGGAGAACATGCACTTGGGACAAAGAAAAGATAGAGATCTTGGGTGCAAATGTGAGTGCTGACTCTAGCCTATAACTTACTTACTTACTTAGACGATCCCTCATTGTCCGAGTAAGATTGGCCTCCAAGTGCAGTGTCCTGGCAGTGGGTACATGGGTGACTGTGGAGCCCTATTCTTGATCTGCATGTTCTCCCACAGTGAGGCATCGGTTTCCAGGTGGAAGGTGGTCCCGTTTGGGGTTGGCTTGACGCGCCTTCCTCTTGGCATGTTTCTCTCTTTCACCCACCATTCGCGCCTCTTCAGATTCTACAGCACTGCTGGTCACAGCTGACCTCCAGCTAGAGCACTCAAGCCTATAAAGTCCCAAACGGTTCGGGTCCAACCTACTTGAGGGACCGCATCTCCTCCTACCAGCCCGCAATTATCAGGATTACTTTCTTACTTAGACAATCCCTCATTGTCCGAGTAAGATTGTCCTCCAAGTGCGGTGTCCTGGCAGTGGGTACACAGGTGACTGTGGAGCCCTATTCTTGACCCGCATGTTCTCCCACAGTGAGGGCATCGGTTTCCAGGTGGAAGGCAGTCCCAGTCGGGGTTGGCTTGGCACGCCTTCCTCTTGGCACATTTTTCTCTTTTGCCCTCCATTCATGCCTCTTCATATTCTACAGCACTGCTGGTTACGTCTGACCTCCAGCTAGAGCGTTCAAGCTTATAAAGTCCAAAATGGTTCGGGCCCAACTTACTTGAGGAACCACATCTCCTCCTACCAGTCCACAATTATCAGGAGAGGCCCTTCTCTCGGTCCCACCACAGTCACAAGTATGAACTCCAGCAACAGCAAGTTATGTAGGAAGGGCTGGATCTGAAGCTGCAGCCAGTGGAAAGGGAGTGTCTTGCAGCCATTAAAGTTGCACCAGGAGAGGTAGGGATTCAGTTTCTCTAATGGCGAAAGAACTCCTAGCCCCCTTGAAGGCCACGGATGACTGCTAGATAGCTAGTTAAGGGGAGGTGAGGGTGGTGGGCTATGCTTTTATTATCCGTTCACAAGGAGCATCAGATCCTGCCTGCTGTCCTTGGTTGGCTGATTCTCCCAGCGGTCCATACCCTTCTCTTTCAAAGGGATCTTCATGAGAGGCTGGGAAGAACGTGATGGTATCTTGTTTTGTTTTCCAATGCTTTTTCTCTGAATTGTGGGATACGTGGTCACAGGACCTGACTCCATAGGCAGGAACGCTTCATCAGCATTCTGCCAAGTCAAGCCTTTGGTCCTTCTGGAAGAGCTGTTTCTAAATTTATCCTTTTAAGAGAAATTCATAGACTATTCTAATTCCACACATTGGTTTTGTTCAGACCTGCCTGGGAAGGAGCAAGGGAAGCATTTCAAGAGGCTCACAAAGACATTCTAGAACTGGGGCTTTTCCATGTGATTTGCCATACAGGGTCTCAATCCAGTAATTTTGTTGGCTTTTTTTTCTGTGTGAGCAGCGACTTGAGAAACTGCAAGTTGCTTCTGGTGAGAGAGAATTGGCCGTCTGCAAGGATGTTGCCCAGGGGACACCCAGATGTTTTGATGTTTTACCATCCTTGTGGGAGGTTCTACTATTTGTAGCATCCAAGGTTGGGTCAGAGAAGAGTTCTACATGGTGACCAGGTTACAACAAGGTATCCCGGGTGTAGTTCCTTGTTTCGGTGTTGGTGATGAAAACACCTTCTTCAGGTAATGAATGGATGCTTGAATGCTACAAATAGTCCTTCGAAACATCTACAAGTGACGCTTTAAATCATCCAACAGATTGGAYTATTACGTTTATCTATATGAATATGGACATTTATCCATGACAAAGAGAAGTTGTTTATATTGTGTATATAAGTAATAAACCTGTCATATGACATCATATTTGAAGTTTCAACAACAATAACATAATACTTTGTGTATCTCCCATATAATCAGTCATGGAGGGCAGGTGGCCTTAGCTTGCTTCTCCTCCTTTTGGCCCCTGCCRCCCTGTATCCGCACACCTCTGCTTGGCAGGGGCAACAGACCTGGTCCTCTGGGGATGAAGGCGCCCCAGCTGCTTGGCCAGCTTCTCACACCAACCTCTCCGTTTTCCATCCTCAGCAGCCCGAGGCAGTTCAGATCCCGCCTTTGCTCATCACATCCTAGTGCGGTTTGTCTCATCACGCTGCATGGCGGTACAGTAGCCCTTTTCTTTTAATCCATCTGTGTTGCATTCTGCTTTTTCTTTCCTTATTCCTCTCTTTTTCTCGTTGCCTCAATTAGATGTGGGGGCGGAGGCACCTTCCCCTCCGGCGATTCCTTTTCCCACGTTATGTTCCACCATCCCGTTTTTTGTGTTAATGGTTCTTACATTTCCCATGAACTCTTGTCAGTTGCCAAGTAATTTCTGCTGCCAGCTGTTTGCCTCCTCCACGGCACGGAGCCCCCTTCCAAACATGCCTTGCAGGTTAGCTGGGGAAGGAGGAAGAGAAAGACTAGGGGTGGGTCCAGACAGGCTTTTATCCCAGGAGAATCCATGTTTAAAAAACACGGATTTTCCTGGGGTCCTGTTCACACACACCACAGAAAGTGCGTGCATTCTCCTGGGACTAGCCTAGGAGAACACCTGGAGGCCCTACCCCTCTTCCCCTGAAGCCCCCAGACCCCTTTGAAAAGTAATAAAAACTTACCTGGCCTCCATTACAGGCTTCGAGCAGCTCTCCTGGTGCATAGAAATTACACGCCAGAAGTGTGTGTGTGTGTGCGCATGCGCGCGCGCGTGTGTGGGGGTTGATTTTCCTCCCTTCCCTCCCAAACTCCTGGTGCATAATTTCTACGCACCAGGAGAGCTGCTCGAAGCCTGTAATGGAAGCTGGGTAAGTTTTCATTACTTTTCAAAGGGGTCTGGGGGCTTCAGGGGAGTGGGTGGGTATTCCCAGAGTTTGCTGGGTTTATTTATCCTGGTAAACTGTGGGAATGGTGTCTGGACTGTAGTCCAGAAACCGGAAGTAGTAGGTTTATCCCGTGCCTTCCAAAAAGGCATGGAATAAACCCACTATCTAATTAATTTGCTACAAACCAGGGGTTTCCTGGCTTGTAGCAAATTAATTCAGGACTGTCCAGAACATTGTCTGGACAGCCCGTCCTTTATTGCGGTATCTACCACAATAAAGGTACTGTCTGGACAGGCCCTGGGAGAGTCTAAGCATTGGTGGTTTGGTTCTGTGCAACTCCTGATCACTGCATGGCCTTGAACAAGCAGCTGGAAATGGACAGTGACCGCTACCTTCCTGAGCGGGCTGTCCTTTTGCAAGTGGAAGAAGAAAATGCCCTGGGAGATGCACATGCTCCCATCTGTAGCACTCAGCTTCTCCACATTGATGGTATTTAGCAAGTGAAGAACATTACATGAGCTTTTGCTGTTGTGAGGAGGTGAGCCGGGGAAGGGAATGGTTCAGGCTGATCTAGTTTTAGGCCAGGAGCTTGTTTACACTGATGAGAAGAATCTGTTTGGCACCACATTGTTATGTTCTTCCTTGGTCCTGCGGTGACCCCATTAACTCCACACACATTACACACGTCTTAGTGATTTTGCTATAACTAGCCACTCTTTTCCCCTGGCAAACTCACTTTGCTGTTAGAAGGCAGTCCGTATTTCCAATCCTTCGCATTCTGTCACATACCTATGACTCTCCCATTTTGTAGTATTTTATGTTGAGTAGAGGCGCACTAATGCACACGTTTTTTGAAAAATTTAACTCGAGAAAAAGGAACTTCTTGACTGAATGCTCACTCCCATCACCAGTTTTGCCCCCTACTATCTCCTCCATCCAGCAATGCTGCCTGGAGGAATGGCTACACACCTGAACATTCAGATTTTCTGTAAATTCCTACGGTAAAAGGCAAGCTTTTTTGAAATGGTTTCAAGCCTGATGAAACTCATGGCACACAAATTGTCAGGGTTGTCATTTATTGGGATCAGAACCTCAATAGCAGGTATGGGCAGACTCTGACCCTCCAGGTTTTTTGGACTTCAACTCTCACAATTCCTAACAGCCTACTGGCTGTTAAGAATTGTGGGAGTTGAAGTCCAAAAGACCTGGATGGCTGAAGTCTGCCCATGCCTACTATATGGATTCATGTCATTCTATATGAATATGAAATGAATACATTTTTTTTAGGTTTTATTGACAAGTGCCAAGACACCTCCAAGCTGTGAAAACTTAACAAAGTATGCATACTAATGTCCTGTTCCATTCCACTCCCAAGAGATTAAAGGTAGAAAAAGAAGAAGATAAGTGCAAATAGAGCCCCATTCATGGCCATTGGGGTTGTTACTGGTGCTGGAAAGGAGCATGGCATGGAGGGGAGCTAGCCCTGGAAAGGGGTTCCGTGTTTGCAATTTCCGCTTCCCAATTCTCTGTCTCAAGTGCATCTGCTGGGAATTACTTGTGTGTTCCATAATACATCTCTTAAGGTGGTTTGTTTCTACTTTTCACAGGGACTGCATTCCATGGTTTCTGTGGCCCTTTCATAATAGGGACACGGTTCGTGCAATAAGGGAAGGAGAACCCTAGGGAGAACTTCAGGACTTCAAAGCCAGTGGAAACCCTCTGGAATTAGAATATCCGTTTTGCCACCCATCTCCTTATGGATACCTGCACTTGCTTTCAGTTATTGCTTCCCACTTCCAAACCATCACAGAAATGGTTCTGGAAGGCCAAGTCAAAGCTGTCCTCCATTCCACCCAAACCCAATGATTGGAAAAGTTATTAAACTTTGCAAAAATCAAAATGCCATTTGTGTCTGTTTCTTCCCAAATGCCATATGATGACAAGGGGGAAACAGACGAGTTGTCTACATAGTCTCCACTGTTTATGGTGCAGACAAGGAACAATTTGGGCATGGGGTCATTCATCGTGGGATCTGCCTAGGATGGAGAAATGTATGCAGTTGGATGCTTCTAACCGTGGGATTGAACCCTGAATCGAAACTTTCTGCCCAGGATTCCTCCTTGGCAGAAGATAGCAGGCTACTCAGCCATGCCACACTGCCAGGAGAGCTGGGCCTGGGAAGCTCGCACTCCACAGGTTTTCTCATTCTTCTCCTTCTCCTCCTGTTCCTCTTCCTCCTTGCTGTCTTGCAGAGCATGGAGTCACAGGTGGAAGAGTGGTACAAAGAAGTGGGGGAGCTGCAGGCCCAGGTGGCTAATCTCCCCCTAGAAGCCACCAGCATGGAAATGGTAGAGGAGAGGCAGAACATGGTTGGGACGCGCATCGTGCGCCTCATTGAGCCGCTCAAGGAGCGCCGGAGAATCCTGCTGGCCTCCAAGGAAGTGCACCAAGTCAGCCACGACCTGGAGGATGAGATTGTAAGTAGTGTGTGGGGAGGGTCCTCAAATTGGGATGGAAAGAAGTGTGTTGAACATGGGGTGAAACATGGAGAAGGAATGTACAATTCTGTGGTCAGAGGGGACAAAGAACTGCAATTTTTGATACTACTCCTAGAGCAGTATTTCTCAACCTTCCTAATGCTGCGACTCCTTAATACAGTTCCTCATGTTGTGGTGACCTACAACCATAAAATTATTTTCATTGGTGCTTCATAACTGGGGGAGGGGGATTGATTTTGTCATTTGGGAGTTGTAGTTCTTGGGATTTATAGTTAACCTACAATTCCACCAATTATGGAATTGAACCAAACTTGGCACACAGAACTCCCAAGATCAACAGAAAATACTGGAAGGGTTTGGAGGGCATTGACCTTAAGTTTTGGAGTTGTAGCTACATCCAGAGAGCACTGTGGACTCAAACAATGATGGATCTGGAGCAAACTTGGCACGAATACTCAATATGCCCAAATGTGAACACTGGTGGAGTTTGGGGAAAATAGACCTTGACATTTGGGAGATGTAGTTGCTGGGATTTATAGTTCACCTACAATCAAAGAGCATTCTGAACTCCACCAGTAGATTTGGGCCAGTCTTCCCACACAGAACCCCTGTGCCTTAAAGGGACCCACTGGCACGAGCCTCCCTCCAGCCTCGCATGCTCTCCCATGCGCCGAGCATGCCTGCTCTCCCCTCCCTATTTGGAGTCTCAGAAACAGCCTTCTCCTTGGCTGAGAGGAGTGCTTTTGGTGGAAGGATTTGCCGTCTATTTCCAAAAAGGAAGAGAAGTACACGTGGAGAGATCTTCACACTTCTCTGCCAAATGGATTCCTATGACCATCAGAAATATATKTTTTCTGATGGTCTTTGGGGACCCCTCTGAAACCCTCTTGCGACCCCCCCCCCCAGGGGTCCCGATCCCCAGGTTGAGAAACACTGTCCTAGAGCGATGGGGTCAATGGCAGACCCACCTTTCTGGCAGTTTTGGAATCCAGATTAAGAAAAAAATGATAAGGGAAGACAGTCTCAGGAGCCGCTCTCCCACAAATAACAATAACAAAGATGTGCAGTAGTCGCCGTCTGGCAAGCTTTCATTCTAAAAAGGTTTTTTTCCTCAACTAGTGGCCTAGGGTCACAAATGACCAAGAGGTAAAAAAAAAAAAAAAGAATTCTGGGATCTGAAGTCCAAAGCACCCAGAGAACCAAAATATAGGATCTTTGGTATTCCTTCCAGCTCTATGACTTTAGGAACTTTCATCTATGCAGAGTTGTTGCCCGTGCAGATGACTGCAATGGGGTAGGGAAAGTATTATTGATCAACTGTATTTTGGGGAGTGGGTGGTTTCCCACTCATTCCACCTGCCACTCTCTCTCCCATTCAGCTCTGGGTACAGGACCGTCTGCCACTAGCCACACTGAAGGACCATGGGAGCAACCTGCAAACAGTCCAACAGTTCATCAAAAAGAACCAGGTAAGGAGACAGTGCTGGGAGAACCTCTCAATCTAGTGGCAGTCATTGTTTACAAAGTGTCCTGCTTCGTTCTGATCCAGTGCTGCCATAAATCCAGTCAATTATTATTATTATTATTATTATTATTATTATTATTATTATTATTATTATACTTTATGTATATACCACTCTATCTCCCCGAGGGGACTCAAGGTGGTTTCCAAGTAACAACACCAAAACATACAGAGTAATCAACATAAGCATAAAATTAACAAAACAACATAAGCATGAAATATCACAACACACATATATATTAAAAATAATCCTGCCTGTTTTTCGTGGCTGTCAGGGCAAGGAAAAGGGTCAAGGCAATTAAAAAGGACAAGCCAACGTTAGTGCAAAATCAGAGTATAGGGGCCAGGGAATTGGGTAAAGTGCTATAACCGGCTAACAGCAATAGCAAATACGGGCCTGTGGCTGCTCATTTCCCGAAGCTATTAGAGCAGTGGTTCTCAACCTGTGGGTCCCCAGATGTTTTGGCCTTCAACTCCCATAAATCCTAAGCTGGTAAAATGACTGGGGTTTCTGGGAGTTGTAGGCCAAAAACACCTGGGGACCCCAGGTTGAGAGCCACTGTATTAGAGGAATGACCGGGGTAATGAGTAGGAAGTGCAAGGCCATATTCTAATAATGTCTAGGGCTGAGCTAGTATTGGTCATTCTCAAAGGCTTGTTGAAACCACCAGGTCTTCAAGCTCTTACTAAAAGAGGGGAGGGATGGAGCCTGTCTTATTTCCTTTGGAAGGACATTCCAGATGCAGGGAGCCACCACTGAGAAGGCCCTCTCTCTCGTCCCCACCAGCCGTACTTGTGATGGTGGTGGGAGCAAAAGAAGGGCCTCCCTGGAAGATCTTAGCATTCGCGCCGGTTCATAGAAAGAGATGCGATCGCTAAGATATGCGGGGACCAAATCATTTAGGGCTTTATAAGTCATGACCTTCACCTTGAATTTGGCTCGGCAATTTATTGGCAGCCAATGAAGTTGTTTTAATAGAGGCGTTGTGTGCTCCCTATAGTTTGCTCCAGTAAGGAGCCTTGCTGCCATCCGTTGTACCAATTGAAACTTCCGGGCCATCTTCAAGGGCATCCCCACGTAGAGCACATTGCAGTAGTCCAGTCTGGATGTAACCAAGGCATGGACCACCCTGGCCAAGTCTTGATTTATTGCAACTGCTATGCAGAACTTAGTTAAACTTTAGTCATTCTATATAGTTAATCTTAAACCCCATCACAAATGTGGTGTAAGAGCTTATCTTTGGAGTTATCAAACTACCAAATAATACATTTTTTCAAGCTGTACCTTCTCCCAATCTCTAGGGCTGAGCCCTAACCTCTTCAACTAAATGAAAGTTCTTTTCTGCCTCCACATGCCAGAATCTGCGTCGAGAGATCCAGGTGCACAAACCCCGGATGGATGACGTCCTGGAGCGTGCCACCAGCATTGCCACCATCAAGAGCCCCGAGGTTGATCCTGTCCGTCTCCTGCTGGAGAAGCTCTCAGAGTTGTGGATAACCCTCCAGGAGGAGACGGAGCGGCGGCAGCATCTCCTGGATGCAACCTACCAGGTGGAGCAGTACTACTTTGATGTGGCCGAGGTCGAATCCTGGCTGAGTGAACAAGAGCTCTTTATGATGAATGACGAGAAAGGCAAGGTGAGTAGTTGGCCAGGGGAAAAGGAAAGAACAACTAAAACTCGTGCGCCAGCTGTGACCATACCTCATAAAGTCTGATTTGGCCACGGTGGTCCACGCCTTAGTTGCCTCTAGATTGGACTATTGCAATGCACTCTACATGGGGCTGCCCTTGAAGACGGCCCAGAAATTTCAACTGGTCCAGCGATCAGCAGCCAGACTGATAACTGAATTAGAGGGAGTGGTCTACCCCCCTGTTTAAGGAGCTCCACTAGCTGCCATTTATTTTCCAGTCCCAATTCAGGGTGCAGGTTATCACCTACAAAGCAATGAACGGTTTGGGACCTGCCTACCTTCATGACCACATTTTCTTCTACGAACCTGCATGATCCCTTCGATCTTCCGGGGAGGCCCTTCTCTTGCTCCCACCTCGGTCGCAAGTGTGACTTGTGGGGACGAAGGAGAGGGCCTTCTCTGTGGTGGCCCCTCGACTCTGGAACTCGCTACCCGGAGAGATTAGGCCAGCCCCCACCCTGGCAGCCTTTAGGAAAAGCCTAAAAACCTGGCTGCTCCGGTGTGCCTTTGAGGAATGAACAACAAATCCCCATATCATGACCAGCTCAGCACAAAATGCCCTTCGATGCACTTTATCTCATCCTTTAGTGAAATTAAACCCCATTGCTTGTCCCATCTGAATCTCCCACCAGATACACTACCCTATTCATCCATCTCACCCAGGGTTTTTATCATTTTATCTCTTGCAATTGGTCCAGCCCACTGTGCTCAACTTTTTATTATTTTATTTCACACCCTGTGTTTACCTTGCATTATTTTGTTTTGTTTACATTTTATTTTGATGTTTTTATTTGTTGTATGTTTTCTATTTTGCTTTGTTGTAATTGTTGGGCTTGGCCTCCTGTTAACCGCCCCGAGTCCCTGCGGGAAGATGGTGGCGGGATATAAATAAAGTTTTATTTTATTTATTAAAGAACTTCCTGATGGTGAACCTGTCATGAAGTCTTCTGAGAATGACATTGTGCGAGTCTCCAAGATCACAACATGAATGGGGAATTGAATCCTGGTCCCCATAGTTATAATCCAAAGCCTGCCGTGGCACAATGGGTTAAACCCTTGTGCTGGCAGGACTGCTGACCAATAGGTCAGCAGTTCGAATCTGGGGAGAGTGGGTTGAGCTTGCTGTTAGCTCCATCTCCCATTCAGGGACATGAAAGAAACCTTCCATAAGCTTGATAAAACATCAAACATCCAGGTGTCCCCTGGGCAATGTTCTTGCAGACGGCCAATTCTCTCACACCAGAAGCAACTTGCAGTTTCTCAAGTCGCTCCTGACATTTAAAAAAATCCCGTGCTCATACTATTACACCTATTGACTCCTACCTTTATATTGACCCCTGTGCCTGCTTTCCTTCCCTGCTTTCAGGATGAACAAAGCACCCTCCAGCTGCTGAAGAAGCACCTGATGACAGAACAGACTGTGGAGAATTACGCAGAGACTATTGCCCAATTGTCACGGCAATGCCGAGCTTTGCTAGAGCTGGGCCACCCTGACAGGTAGGGTGGTTGCTTTCCTTTTCCTCATTTCTTCTGCCTGCCGTGAGATTCCCCCTCCACCAACAACTGGGCTTTGTTTCCCCACCAGCGAACAGATCAGCAGACGGCAATCCCAAGTCGACCGGCTCTATGTCTCGCTGAAGGACTTGGTGGAGGAGCGCAAGGCCAAGTTGGAGCAGCAGTACTGGCTCTACCAGCTCAACCGTGAAGTGGACGAGCTGGAGCACTGGATCGCAGAGAAGGAGGTGGTGGCAGGGTCACCTGAGCTGGGGCAGGACTATGAGCATGTGACGGTGAGTGGGGGGAAAATGAGGACCATCCAGGGGAAGGCGCATGGCACATTGGTCACCACATAAAAACACGTTTGAAAATAGTTAGGATAGGCAACACCACTTAGAATCATAGAGTTGGAAGAGACCTTGTGGGCTATCCAGTCCAACCCCCTGCCAAGAAGCAGGAAAATCTCATTCAAATCACTCCCGACAGATAGCCATCCAGCCTCTCTTTAAAAGCCTCCAAAGAAGGAGCCTCCACCATACTCCGGGGCAGAGAGTTCCACTGCTGAACAGCTCTCACAGGAAGTTCTTCCTAATGTTCAGGTGGAATCTCCTTTCCTGTAGTTTGAAACCATTGTACCACGTCCTAGTCTCCAGGGCAGCAGAAAACAAGCTTGCTCCCCCCTCCCTATGACTTCTCCTCACATATTTATACATGGCTCTCATCATGTCTCCTCTCAGCCTTTTTTTCTGCAGGCTAAACATGTCCAACTCTTTAAGCCACTCCTCATGGGGCTTGTTCTCCAGACTCTTGATCATTTTAGTCGCCGTCCTCTATACACATTCCAGCTTGTCAACATCTCCCTTCAACTGTGGTCCCCAGAATTGGACACAGTATTCCAGGTGTGGTCTAACCAAGGCAGAATAGAAGGGTAGCATGACGTCTCTAGATCTAGGCACTGGACTCCTATTTATACAGGCCAAAATCCCATTGACTTTTTTTAACTTGTTGCCCACGAGGACTTGAGTAAAAAAAAGATGGTAGTGAATGCAGTAGACATTTCATATCAAAGAAAGCTTCCCACTCCTATCACAGAAGGCCTCACAGCATGGGAACGACATCTTCCGGGATCGCCATAGCCTCAATTCCCGAGAGAAGGCAAACCAAAGACGTGGCTGTACAGCACAGACATTTCTGTATATGCTCAAACAGATACATGAAAAGGGCACATATACAGAGCTAGACAGAGAAGGAATGGGTACCAAAGCTTACTAGTTCCCAATTTACAAGTGTGTGAAGTGATTAGTTCTCTGTTTTTCTTATCTTTTGGAAACCCATGCCAAGGTAACCAGGCTCAGTCTAACTATTGTGTTGACTGTATTGTCGAAGGCTTTCATGGCTGGAATCACTAGGTTCTTGTGGGTTTTTTCGGGCTATAGAGCCATGTTCTAGAGGCATTTCTCCTGACGTTTCGCCTGCATCTATGGCAAGCATCCTCAGAGGTTGATAAGGTCTCCAGACTATTGTGTTGACTATTCTATATGCAAGGCAACTCTTTCTTATTTTTACAGTTTTTTGCTGAATGATGATCACTTGTTGGCCTGATACGTATATTGTGTCCAAATTTCATGTCAATTTGTCCAGTGGTTTTTGAGTTATGTTAATTCCACAAACAAACATAACATTTTTATTTATATAGACTAGCTGTACCCACCATGCTTTGCTGTGGCCAACCTTCCCTCCCTCTTTCTCCCTTTCCTTCCTTCTTTCTTTTTTTCCTTCCTTCTTTTTCTTTCCCTTCTTCATTCTTCCTTCTCTATCTGTTTCTTTTCTTACTTCCTTTGCTGTTTGGTTCCATCCTGTCTCTTTCCTTCCTTCCTTCCTTCCTTCCTTCCTTCCTTCCTTCCTTCCTTCCTTCCTTCCTTCCTTCCTTCCTTCCCTTTCTCTTTTTCGTTCCTTCTCTCCTTCCTTCCCTCTTTCACTTTTTTATTTCCTACTCTCCTTCCTTCCTTCTCTACCTTTCTTTCCTACCTTCCTTCCCTCCCTCTTTCTCTTTCGTTCCTTCTCTCCTTCCTCCCCTCTTTCACATTTTTATTTCCTTCTCTCCTTCCTTCCTTCCTTCCTTCCTTCCTTCCTTCCTTCCTTCCTTCCTTCTCTACCTTTCTTTCTTTCCTTCTCTCTTTCCCTCCTTCTTTCCCTCTTTCTCTCTCTCCTTCCCCATTTCTGTGTATGTTTTGTGTGTGCATATATGTGGTTTTGTGCTTGTGTTGTAATGTATTTTTTTTGTTTTTGGCTTCTTAAGTCCCTTCTGCTGTGTTTTTCAGTGTTTTTATGAGTGATGGTCACTCGTTGGCCTGATCGGTGTCTTGTGTCCAAATTTGGTGTCAATTCATCCAGTGGTTTTTGAGTTATGTTAATCCCACAAACAAACATTACATTTTTATTTATATGGATTGTTACAGTCATTTGGTTTAGGTATTCTCCTTAGTTGTGATCTTAGTTCATACGGTTGCCTTTTACATGCCAGTTTTTGCTCTCTATGGGATTATTACCTGGAGATTGCCAGCATTATTATGGCTGGGCCATTGCCCTATGGTCCCTGCCACATTTAGAAAGAGAGAGGTCAGTAGAAGTATCACCTTGTGGCTAAGGGTCCCTTGTGTGGGGTTAGGAGGAGATGCTCTGCACATGCCCCCAGTTGCTGTCATCTTATGATTTCACAAGCTGCCAGGCGGAAATATCAGTAAGGATAGAAAGGAGGTTGACATTTAGCGTAAGAATTAAGTATTCATTAAGGTAGGCTTCTGCAGAATGCCTTTTCCTCTCAGCTGAATGCCTCTGACAAAGAGCTTCCAGGGTAGAGAAAGTCGCTGGAATTGCCGCAAAGTCAGCACCTCTGCCTATTAATGTTCCCTCTGAAGTCTGCTGCCTGTGTTCACTTCTAATTTCTGACATACTACCCTCTGGCATATTCCCTCCCTCCCACTCCCTTCAGCTCCTGCAAGAGAAGTTCACTGAGTTTGCCAGCGAGACGGGCAGCATTGGCAACGAGAGGATCTCAGCCGTCAACCAGATGGTGGATGAGCTCATTGACTATGGGCACGCGGATGCCGCCACCATCGCCGAGTGGAAAGATGGAGTGAACGAGGCCTGGGCTGACCTGCTGGAGCTGATGGAGACGCGGGCACAGATGCTGGCGGCCTCCCATGAATTGCACAAGTTCTTCAATGACTGCAGGGAGGTGCACTCCCAGATTGAGGAGAAGAAGCAGCGTCTGCCGGAAATCACATCCCGGGAGTCCAAGACCTCGGCTGGCACTTTGCAGAGGATGCTGAACTCTTTTGAACATGATGTCCAGATCCTGGTGTCTCAGGTGAGGGGAAGCAGGTATAGCTTCAGAAGGAGCCCATCCTACAGCACAGTTCATTAAAAATATATATTCCTTGAATTTTCTCCCATGAAAGCATGCAATGGTAATGGGACCAAGAAAAAGGCCTTCTTGATGGTCTTAGAACTTAGAGCAGCTCATACAGTCATTGAAATAGTCCATTTTTAAGCTGGGCAGTTCTTTAGAGCCCCCGGTGGCACACTGAATTAAAGCGCTGGGCTGCTGAACTTGCTGACCAAAAGGTCACAGGTTCGAATCCCAGGAGTGGGGAGAGCTCCCGCTGTTAGCTCCAGCTTCTGCCAACCTAGCAGTTTGAAAACATGCAAATGTGAGTAGATCAATAGGTACCGCTCCAACGGGAAGGTAACGGCGCTCCATGCTGGCCATATGACCTTGGAGATGTCTGCAGACAATGCCAGCTCTTCAGCTTAGAAATGGAGATGAGCACCAACCCCCAAAGTCAGACACAACTGTACTTAATGTCAAGGGGAAACCTTTACCTTTAGGGCTTTAGAGATCAAAACCAGAACTTTGAATTGTACCATTAACTAGTGAAGCTGTTTCTATAGGGGAGTGACATGGTCCCTGTAAGCATCCCCATCCTAGTTTCAGCATTTTGGATCTGCTGAAGTTTGGAAATATCATATTTCACTGCATAATAGTCGCCACTACATAATAGCCACACCACACCTCAATTTTTTGGGTGCCAAAAATTGTATTTTAGTTTCCCTTGCATCATAGTCACACTTCATTTGGGACTGATTTTGCCTTCCTTCTTTTTTTCTCCAAAGGTAAGAAAGTTAAAAAATTATAAAATGGAGGACTCTGAAGCTCCACTATTTCCCCCCTCCCTCCTTCTTTGAAGGCAAGGCAATTTACAAAACCTGGACTGGAGCTTTTTGGAGAAAGGAGGAAGGAGGGAAGATCTGAATGCCAGAGACCTCCATTTCAGGCTTTTTAAAACCTGTCTTGTCCTGGAGGAAAGAAGGAAGAGTGGAACTCCAAAGACCTGCATGTCATAGTTTTTAAACTGCCTTGGCTTTGAAAAGGGAGGAAAAATCAGACCACCATTCCTCATCTTCCTCCTCCTCCCCTTTCAGAGATAAACATTCTATTTTAAACCAAGAATAACAGCAACCAGAGAATTCCTCACATAATAGTCGCACCCCCTTTTTTAAATGAAAAAGGGGAGAAAGTGCAACTATTATGTGATGAAATCTGGTAGTTTCCTAGAGGTGTCCCATGTAGAGTGCATTCCAATAATCCAAATGGGATGTAATGAAGGCATGTGTTGTCATCGACTTGCAGTCATGTTTTTGTATAGGATGAAAGAGCCCTATGCAAGCAAGGCGATTGTCATGCAGGGACAGACACTTATCTTCTTGCTATCTTCTGCCAGTGTTGGGCAATAGTGTGATACTGGTGTATTTGGCAGGTGCGGCAGCTTCAGGAGGTGGCAGCCCAGCTGCGGACTGTGTATGCAGGTGAGAATGCCGAGGCCATTGCCACCAAGGAGCAGGAGATGATGCGTTCCTGGAAGGAGCTGCTGACATCATGTGAAGACTGCCGGCTGCAGATCACCACCACCACTGACAAGATGCGCTTCACCAGCATGGTCCGGGACCTCATTTCCTGGATGGACACCATTATCTGCCAGATTGGCACTGGCGAGAAACCCAGGTACAGTGTGGGGTGGGGAATGGGACACAGATTTGTGTCACACAATCTAACAACACTGTCAGGCAGATTTTATTAATTTGGTCCATTTGCAGAGGAGGTCAAATTCCTTTCCCCATTCATTGTGATAGAAATATCCTGAAATATAAAGACACTTGCAAGCAGAATCTGTTCATAAAAGTGCCCTCCATATATTCAATTACTCCAAGTAAGTGTCCCATAGTCAATGCCAACAACCTTCATGAGTCCTGTCCTGCCCTGCCTTGTACCTGTCCTTGGCTTGTGCTGAAAACCAGCAGCGTTGGGCAGCTTGCCATTCAGGCCGAAGATACCAGAATAGGACTCTCAACCGATCAGATTTCATCTGACCAATTCACAATCTGAGGCCCCTGGTGGCCAAAGCAAGGGATCTATCTGCTGGGCAATTGCCCAAAAGCCATAGTTCAGAACATCTTTTGGGGGGGATTTCCTAAAATGCACTAGAATCTATGAATAACACTAGCTATCTGCAGTAACAAGTGTGGAGTGATACAATCAGTGGATCATCAAGCTGACCATAGATTACACAGGGTCCAAGGCCTATCTGAAGAGCCATGTTTTTAAACTCGCCCAAAAGCATATAGAGCTGGAAGAGCCTAATCTAATATCTTTAGGGAGGGTTTTCCAGAGCTGTGGAAGCCCTACCGAGAAGGCAAGTGTATCTCGTCCCCACCAACCATAATTGAGACGGTGGTGGGACCGAGAGAAAGGCCTCCCTAGCAGATTTCAATGCCCATGCCAGTTCATGGAAAGAGATGTGGTTTCAAAGATAGGTTGGGATCCGAAGCATATATAGCTTTATAGGTAATCATCTGCACTTTGAATTGGGCCCAGAAACCTGTTGGAAGCCATTGGAGATGCTTTAAAAGGAGAGTGGTGTGCTCTCTAAAGTTAGAAACTGCTGACCAGTTTCTGAGTTGTCTTCAAAGGCAGCCCCATGTAGACTGCATTACAGTAGTCCATTCTGGATGTAACTAAGGTGTGGACCTCTGTGACGAAGTCATGGTGGATTGCACTGAAGGCAAAGGGATGGATCTGGAGTTGGGCCTTGTGTGTCTGCTCTTGACCACAATACATAGATTGCTCTCTTCTCGGTGTTCTTGCAGGGATGTGTCCTCAGTGGAAGTCCTGATGAATTATCACCAGGGCCTCAAGAGCGAGATTGAGACTCGCAACAAGAACATTGCTGCCTGTGTGGACCTGGGCAAGACACTGGTGCTGAACAAGAGCCCAGCCTCTGAAGAAGTGAGTGCCCAATCCCTACAGCCCTGGGGTTATGGGAAAGGGTTGGAAGCAGGAAGTCATGCACTATGGCACTACCCATAATCTGGTATTCCTCGGTGTTGAAGGACAGGGGCTTTCCTTACCTTCCCACCCATTTCAGCCAGGACTATCTCTTTGTTCTCTTACAGATTAAGCTGCACCTGGAAAGATTGATGACAAAGAAGAAGGAGATGGTGGACAAATGGGACCGGCATTGGGAGTGGCTGCAGCAAAGTGAGCTTTGATCCTTGGCTACACCATCAAACTAGGGACATGAGGATGGCAGAACAGGCAGTGAGATAAAGGGCAGACACAGCAGAAGTGTCTGAGAGTCATCATAGTTGGGTGCCAAAGGCTCCTCTCCCCATGTACATTATTTCTTGGCATTCAGAAAGCAAATGCTGCCATATTTCTGGGGGTCACGAATTTGTTTCAGAGGGGTTGCCATAGAACATCAGAAAACATATATTTATGATAGTCTTAGGAACCTCTTTGGCAGAGAAGGCTGGAGATCTCTCCACCTGTCCTACTCTTCCTTTTTGGAAACAGACGGTGAATCCTTCCACCAAAAGCCCTCCTTGGTTGTGATTGGCTGGCCTCTTAGCCAAGGCTAGGGCTGTTTCTGAGACTCAAAGCACAGAGGGGAGAGCAGGCATGCTTGCTGTGTGGCAGCATGATGCACGTGCGTGGGCAAGGGAGAGCATTTGAGGGAGGCTTGCACCAGTGAGTCCTTTGTAGGCATGGGTTAAGGTTAGGCCCTCTTCCACTGTAATTGGACGGGCTTTCAGCTGGCCTCTCAGCCAATGGGAGGGCTGTTTCTCAGACTCCAAGTGGGGAGGGAAGAGTAGGCGTGCTTGGCACATGACAGTGTAGTGTGCATGTTCGGGCAAGGAAGAGCATGTGAGGCTAGAGGGAGGCTTGTGCCAGTGAGTCCCTTCAAGGCATGGGGTTCTGTGTGGGAAGTTCGGTGCAATTCTATCATTGGTGCGGTTCAGAATGCTCTTTGATTGTAGGTGAACTATAAATCCCAGCAACTACAACTCGGAATTGTCAAGGTCTATTTTCCCCAAACTCCACCAGTGTTTACATTTGGGCATATTGAGTATTCGTGCCAAGTTTGGCCCAGATCTATCATTGTTTGAGTCCACAGTGCTCTCTGGATGTAGGTGAACTACAACTTCAAAACTCAAGGTCAATGCCCACCAAACCCTTCTAGTGTTTTCTGTTGGTCATTGGAGTTCTGTGTGCCAAGTTTGGTTCAATTCCATCATTGGTGGAGTTCAGAATGCTCTGTGATTGTATGTAGGTGAACTGTAAATCCCAGCAACTACAACTCCCAAATGACTAAATCAACTCCCTCCCCAACCCCACCATTATTCAAATGAGGACGTATCGGCTATCTGAAGTAGCAACAAAAATAATTTTATGGTTGCGGGTCACCACAACATGAGGAACCGTATTAAGGTGTCGCAGCATTAGGATGGTTGAGAAACACTGTCCTAATACTTCATCACACTGGAGAATGAATACACTTTAAATCCGGTTGCGGCCACCTGCTTACTTACTTACTTAGGCGATCCCTCATTTTCCAAGGAGGATTGTCTTCCAGTATTCTTGTGGGTCCATATGTGGCTGTGGAGCCCTACTCTTGCTCTACATCTTCTTCCGCAGTGAGAGCATTGGTTTCCAGGTGGAAGGCAGTCTCGGTTGGTGTTGGCTTGACGTGCCTTCCTCTTGGCACGCTTCTCCCTTTCGCCCTCCATTCGTGCCTCTTCAAATTCTGCAGCACTGCTGGTCACAGCTGACCTCCAGCTGGAGCAGTCAAGGGCCAGGGCTTCCCAGTTCTCAGTGTCCATGCCAGAGTTTTTAAGGTTGCAGAATTCTGGGGTTTGTGGTTTAGGGGGCACCTTTAACAGCCTCACTAAACTACAAACCCCAGAATCCTGCAGGAGGCACAAACTGGATTTAAAGTGGATTAATTCTGTAGCATGATGAATTACCTAGAGTCAGGAAAAAGAGTAGACTCATGGCCTGAATCTTTGGGATTTAACTGAAAGTTGACCTTGACTGTTACATGCCATAAGGCCTTTTACTTCATTTCTGTGGCCAAACCCACTCAATGAAGTTAAATACTGTCCATGCCAGCATACGCTAGGTTGGGAGTGAGAGTGGCAGGGGCTGTATGTCCTTCAGTGGTCAGTCTTGCAATGCCAAGTTGCTTTTATTTATCCCAACAGTGCTGGAAGTCCACCAATTTGCCCAGGAAGCTGTTGTGGCGGATGCTTGGCTGACAGCTCAGGAGCCATTGCTGAAGAGCCGGGAGCTGGGGAACAGTGTGGATGAGGTGGAGCAGCTCATTCGGCGCCACGAGGCCTTCCGCAAAGCAGCTGCGGCTTGGGAGGAGCGCTTCAGCTCCCTGCGGCGTCTCACTACGGTACAAGCTAAAAAGAAAAAAAGCACATGGGGAGGGAAATGGGGTGGAGGGGTAGCTATGGCATGATGTGATGAAGCCTAGGGTTAAGTCCTGAGGATGACCTGATGAGTTTGCCCACGTGGGTTTGGGACACAAGGACTGACACCAAAAAGATGATGCTAAAAAGGGAGAAGTGCACAGTGTGTATGTATCAGAGGTGAGCAATTTTTCGTTAATCCTTGTAAGTCGGATCAAATTTGTTATGTTCGTACTTATGAGGCGACATCCGACACATAGGAATGGCGGTAGCCAACAACTCAAGAATTGAAACTTACCCAATACTTTTTCATTTGCATTTTGTAAATCTCAGAAGCCTCCCAAAGTCAGTGTCATTTTCAGTGCAAGGAAGCAAAGCAAAGCCAAAAAGGCTGCCTTTACTCTTTAAATTAATGGCCTCGTGCCATTAAGAGAGGGAAAGCAGGGAGCAGAGTTTGCTGGGAAAGAAAGCACAGAACTCTGGGAAATGTAGTTTGGGAAGGCGAGGAGCCCTGCCCTAAACTACATTTCCCAGAATTCTGCTCCCATCGGAAACCCCCAATCAGAATAGGGGAGAAATTTGTCCCTCCATTGTAGCATTGTTGAATCTGCAAAGAGGGGGACTGACTGATACTTCTAGTAAGTAAATCTCTTTCCTGGGCTGAGAAAAAAATCCCTAAATTAATGGCCCTTGGGGGTCCCTTCCAATTCAATAGGGGAAGCATATTAATTCATCTAGAGGCTGGATGGCCATCTGTCAGGAGACTTTTAATGGTGCCCTTCACCCTGGAAGAAGGGGGTTGGACTAGATGGCCCTTCGGGGTCCCTTCCAACTCTAGGATGAAAATGTAGAATTTGTTAATATTGGTTTCTATTGGCTAATATGAGAGATATTCAATGAGATAGCTGTTTTGGCCTTTTAAAAATGTTTTTGTCAAAACTTTTAAAAGTTCCATAAAATCAGGAGATGTATGAATATTTCTATAAGTTGGGGGAATGATCTCCTGTTGTCTTGTGTCATTGTATAGAAAATTTAAAAAGATAGCTCTTGCTTTTTTTTAATAAAAACGTTGTTTATAAAAACTTTGAAAATTCTCCAAAAATCCATGGAAAAGTGAAACATTCTGAAACTTGATGGGCTAACAGTGGTAAATGTGTTCTACCATTGGAGCAAGTTTCACCTCAATAGCTGTAAAAACGAGGGAGAAAAGAGCTCCTGAACGTTTCTCAATTATAGTAATTATGTGGAATTACTATAATGAAAATGTAACAAATTTTGTTACTCTCATTACAGTAACTAAATTTTCACTAACTATACTTCAGAAACATTTTAGGAACAAAACACCAGTGCCCCCTAATTTTGTAAAGCTTTCCGAAACTTTTTTTGATGGGTTGTTGTGAGTTTTCTGGGATGTATGGCCATGTTTCAGAAGCATTCTCTTCTGACGTTTCACCCACATCTATGCCTGTGGTGGAACGTCAGGAGGGAATGTTTCTGGAACATGGCTATACAGCCTGGAAAATTCACAGCAACCCAGTGATTCCGGCCATGAAAGCCTCCAACAACACATTTTTTTTATCCATTGCATATGCCGAGTTTGAGCTCATCATATATCCATATACTATATTTCCAGAAGCACATGTCATTAAAGTTGGTATGGGTAAAACCTATATTTGTGTGTAGCAAAAGCAATGAGATGTTGCAACCATTTGAGAACATATGGTCAATGTTTATCTTTCTAGTCTTGGAATACAAGTATTTTAATGTATTGTCGAAGGCTTTCACGGCTGGAATCACTGGGTTGTTGTAGGTTTTTTGGGCTATATGGCCATGTTCTAGAAGCATTCTCTCCTGATGTTTCGCCTGCATCTATGGCAAGTATTTTAGCTACAGTAAAAGTGTACCATTTCCAGCCATCAGCTAAATTCCATGCTGGACCTGTCACAGACTTTTTCTCAGCAAGATTTGTTCAGATGGGTTTGTCTTTGCTTTCCTGTGAGGCTGAGCGGGAATCTAAGCAGTTTTCTTGGAATCTTAATCCAACATTCAAACCATTTGCTGGTTCTCAATGCTTGTGATTTGTTTTTCCAATAATATAATGACTGTTCCAACGAAGCAGGTCATTCAGGCTCACATACTAGGGGAAAGGGAGATGACTTTTCTCTCTGCCTTTATCCCCAGATTGAGAAGCTGAAGGCTGAGCAGAGCAAGCAACCTCCCACTCCACTCCTGGGCCGCAAGATCTTTGCTGACCCCTCCGAGCACAGCAACAAGGCCTCCACGCTCTTGCGCCAGGACGCCTTGCGGGGTCGCATAGAGGTCCAGCCACTCCTCAACGGGGTCAAGCCAGAGCCCTTGGAGCGGGTGGAAGCCAAGGTGGCATATGTACGCCAGGAGCTGAAGCCAGAGCGTCTGCAGCCTAAAATTGACCGCCTGCAAGAGGGGCTAGTAACCGTTGCAGAGGTCAAAGTCCAGGAGAAAGCAGGGGAGATCAAGGCCGTGGTGGAGGACGCGATCAAGGCCCCAGTCAGTGCAGTCAGTGCGTTAACGGAGCAACTGGGGACTAAGGTGAGCCGGGTGGAGACGCATGTGGAGAGGCACCGGGAGCGTTATGAACGCCGGCTGGAGAGGCAAGAGTCTACCGAGCAGGATGGTCCGCGTCATGAGCAGTCGGAGCGCCGGAGGGAGAGGCGGGAGCGTCGGCTGGAGCGTCAGGAGTCCAGCGAGCAGGAGACTCCACGGCGGGAGAGGCATGAGCGTCGGCTGGAGCGGCAAGAGTCCAGCGAGCAGGAAGTGCTGCGCAGTGACCCCAAAGGAGGCGGGTGAGTTTCCTAGGGGAAGATGCTTAGCTGTGCAAAGCAAAAGTCCCATAAAGCCCATTAGTTAGGAAAACCAGGTGGTCAGGTCTGTTGAAATCCTCCAAAGAAACACCTCCATCTCCAAGGCTGGAAAATTGGAGATAAATATCAGAGGGCCTTTCACATTACAGCATTATGATTCCACTGCATCTGCCGTGGGTATGTCTATAACAATGGTTCCCAACCTTTTTTCACTAGGGATAACTTGACCAGGGACCAATTTGACCAGGGGTCACTCTACAACATTAGTACCAAAAGTGTTACCAATCAGTTTTTGGTTAACTTTAGATTCGGCTTGGTTATTTGAAGTGCTGATTCTGAAAACTTCATTGGATAAACCACATCAGCTCTAGTTTCTGATACAGAACATATGCCACCCAGTAGTCACCATCTTCTCGCTCACAGAAAACGATATTTAATAAGCCTCGGCACTCTAAGAAGGCTTTGCGAGACCAATCACTCTCATTGCAACGCTGTAGTAACGGTGAGGCCACGGACAATATTTTAGTTCTTGCAGACCACTGGTGGTCCACGGACCACAAGTTGGGAACCACTAGTCTATGGAATCACAATATTTGTTATTTGGTTTGGCACTGGAGGGTTGTTGTTTTTTTTCATGTCAGGAGCGACTTGAGAAACTGCAAGTCACTTCTGGTGTGAGATAATTGACCGTCTGCAAGGATGTTGCCCAGGGGATGCCGGATGTTTCTGATATCCTTGTGAGAGGCTTCGCTCATGTCCCTGCATGGGGAGCTAGAGGTGACAGCAGGAGCTCATCCTCACTCTCCCTGGATTCGAACGTCTGACCTGTAGGTCTTTAGCCTTGGCGGCACAAGGGTTTCACCCATTGTGCCACCAGGGGCTCCTGGCCCTGAACACCAAATCTCCAGATTCTATAGGATGCAAGCGTAGTAGTTTATTGTTGCTATAGAATCATAGGGCAACAGTTGTGTAGGGTGAACAGGTCCCATTTCTTGGGATTCAGTCCGGAAATCGACCTGGAGTGGACAATTGTATGTAAAAAACAAGATCCCCATCCCAGTCTCTTCTGTCTTGATTCCCCATCCTCAGTCTGCCTACGGTTAAGAGCAGGAATAGTTACAGGGATGATTTCTCTACTGACAGTCTTTCTCTTTCTGACTCGCAGCAAGGCTACCCTTGCGGACATTGTAGAGCAGCTCCAGGAGAAAGAGTCCACAGTGCCGGCCCCGTCTGCAACACCACCTCCAACCACAGTGAGTAGCTCTTTGTCCCCATGCTGCTCCTCAACAGACCAGATAATGGTGGTGCCAATGGACCAGAGCACCTGGGCTGGGCACAGTTATTTAGGATTTCACCTCATTGGGGAAACCAATAATTGCACATTAAAGGCAAAGGTTTCCCTTGACATTAAGTGTAGTCGTGTCCAACTCGATGGGGTGGTACTCATCTCCATTTCTAAGCTGAAGAGCCAGCATTGTCTGTAGACACCTCCTAATCATGTGGCCAGCATGACTGCATGGAGCACCGTTACTGAGTTAATTATGGCTGCACCCATGGCATCATCGTGTACCAGAGAGACCTGGTGGGCTGCCTCTTGCTCCCAATCACTCTGGGATATCTGTACCACTCCCTTCTTCTCTCTGACTACCAGTCTCGTGACCGGGAATCCCCTGCCCGCCTGCCCAATGGCCTTGACATGTTGCCAGAGAGGACGCCTCGACCAGACCGGCCCCGCGCTCGCGACAGGCCCAAGCCCCGCCGGAGGCCACGGCCCAAGGACCCCAATGCGGCGCCAGGGGAAGGCCGCCGATCCCGTTCAGCCCCTGCCCAGAGCAGTGCGCCGCCACCGCCTCCCCCAACGCACACGATCCAGCAGGAGGGATACCTTCTCCGCAAGCTGGAGCTGGATGGGCAAAACAAGAAAGCCTCCAACAGGTAAGCATTGATCAAGAGCAAGGCAATGGTATGCAATATTTACTACTGCATTCCTTGATGCATGTCTCCCCAACATGACTTGAAATATAAGAACAGTTAATCTGAAGCATTGGACAGTGGTGGAAATTCAGAATAATAAAGCCTCCATCTAACAGACTGTATCTCCCTGTACAATAATACACAAACAAACAAACAAAATCTTTGTATTGTCAAAGGCTTTCATAGCCGGAATCAATGGGTTGTTGTAGGTTTTTCAGGCTCACAACCTCTGAGGGTGCCTGCCATAGATGCAGGCGAAACGTCAGGAGAGAATGCTTCTGGAACATGGCCAAACAGCCTGAAAAACCTACAACAACCCAAATAAATCTTTATTTATATCCCACTTTTCTCCCAAAGTGGCTTCCAGCGTGTTAAAAATACAGTAAAAATACAATTCAAAAGCAGCAGAATCAAACCAAAAATATAGAACGTAATAGTAAAGGTAGAGGCTTCCCCTGACATTAAGTCTAGTTGTGTCTGACTCTGGGGGGTGGTGCTCATCTCTATTTCTAAGCCTAAGAGCTGGTGTTGTCCATAGACACCTCCAAGGTAATGTGGCCAGCATCACTGCATGGGGCGCCATTACCTTCCTGCAGAAGTGGTACCTATTGATCTACTCACATTTGCATGTTTTCGAACTGCTAGATTGGCAGAAGCTGGGACTAACAGCAGGAGCTCATCCCGCTTCTCAGATTTGAACCACCAACGTTTCGGTCAGCAAATTCAACAACTCAGTGGCTTAACCCACTGCACCACCAGGTGCATAGAACATAATAAGCAATTACTAAAACATAAACATAAATAAACATGCAAAACTGAAAACATTTTTGTGGTGTCTTGTTAAATCGAGTTTTATTGCACTTCATACAGCTCAAGGGTTATTAACCTTCTTGACTTCAGCCTAGATTTATTTGCTGAAGGCTTGTTTAGAAAGCCTTTGACAATACAATGTTTTGGTTGTTCAGGGAAGCAAGAAACTATAGTACCATTGAGGATAATAGAAAATTGACAAGTGATGAAAGATGCTCCAAAAACCTTTTTTCTCCAAGTTTGTTGTGCTGCTGATCATGACAAAAATTGCTATAATCCAATCTGGTTTCCTACTCTGTGTCTCACTACATTTCCCCAAATACTCCGAAAGAATGTGAATGCACTGCCAAAAAATCTGGGTGTCTTGTCTCAAGTACACATAAAAGGGGCTTTTGGGGAGGCCTGCTGTAACCAAACACTGATTGGGTGTGGATTTATCTTCTTCTGCCACTTGTTTGCCATGCCAGGTCTTGGATCAACCTCTACTGTGTCATTAGCAAAGGGGAACTGGGTTTCTACAAGGATTCCAAGGGACGGGAATCCGGCAGCACACACAGCAACGAGCCCCTCCTGAACCTGCACAACGCCACCAGCGAGGTGGCCAACGACTACAAAAAGAAGAAGAACGTGCTCAAGATCAAGTGAGAGCTTTGCCTGGGTTGGTGGGATGGAGGGCTCTCCCTTTCCCCTTTCCTTCCAAAGAGGAGGAAGTTGGCAAGCTTAAGACACTCAGGCCCAGTTTCAGGCCAGGAGGAGCCTGAGTTGAGGTTCTGGAACTGCAGAGGAAATTCTTCCCTCATCTGTCTTTGTATAGGTTGTACATCTCTTATTTGGAACCCAAAATTGTCCACATGAATGGCTTTGTATTGAAACATGTTTTATTTAACTGTTGCCTATGAAATTACCCAAAGTTATGTGTATAAGGCATGATTGAAATATAAATTAATTACATGTTTAGACGTGGGTCCCATCTCCAAGATAGCTCCTTATGCATATGCAGGTATTCCAAAATCCAAAAAAATCTAAAATACGGAGCACTTCTGCTCCCAAGTATTTCAGATAAGGGATGTTCAACCTGTACTGAGATTCTTCAGTTTCTTCAAGATCAAAACAGGAGTGGGAATCCTTTGGTAAAGAGCACAGCAAGAGGGTAGAAGTGTCATGGGAGGTGTCGTGGCTAGGAGCTCCCAGTGAGGAGGAGCAGAGCTGACAAGTGCTTGTGTCTTGCAGGATCAATGATGGGGGCGAATTCCTCTTGCAAGCCAAGGATGAGGTAAGGAGATTCCTTAGATCAGTCTTTCTCAACCTGGGGGTCGGAACCCCTAAAGGGGGCCATGAGGGGGGCTTCAGAGTGGTCTCCAAAGAACATTAGAAAACACATATTTCTGATAGTCTTAGGAATCCTTTTGGCAGAGAAGGCTGAAGATCTCTCTGCCTGTCCTTCTCTTCCTTTTTAATGTTGGTGAACTACCAAAATTCAAAAACGGTCCCTCCCCCAAATCCCACCAGTATTCAATGTTGGTCATGTAGGTAGTTTGCCAAGTTTGGTGCAGATCAATTGAAGGGAGGGTTCAGAATGCTCTTTGATTGCAGATGAACTATAAATCCCAGCAACGACAACTCCCAAATGTCAAGGTCTGTCTCCCCCAAACTCCACCAGTGTTCACATTTGGGCATATTTAGTATTCATGCCAAGTTTGATCCAGATCTATCATTGTTTTACTCCACAGTGCTCTATGGATGTAGGTGAACGACAACTCCCAAAATCAAAGTCAATGCCCACCAAACCCTTCCAGTATTTTCTGTTGGGCATGAAAGCTCTGTGTGCCAAGTTTGGTTCAATTCCATGGTTGGTAGAGTTTGGAATGCTCTTTGATTGTAGGTGAACTATAAATCCCAGCAACTATAATTCCCAAATGACACAATCAATTCTAATCCTGCCAGTATTCAAATTTGGGCATATCGGGTCTTTGTGCCAATTTTGATCCAGTGAATGAAAATACATCCTGCATATCAGATGTTTATATTATGATTCAAATCAGTAGCAAAATTACAGTTAGAGAATAGCAACAAAAATTCATAACAGCAGCAAAATTACAGCTATGAAGTAGCAATGAAAGTAATGTTATGGTTGGGAGTCACCACAACATGAGGAACTGTATTAAGGGGTCATGGCATTAGGAAGGCTGAGAAACACTGCCTTAGATGTAGGAGGGCAAGGGATTGCATTGTGTGTTGCTTTGATGCCACCCAGCCCTTTCCTTCTGCAGGAGGAGATGAAGACTTGGCTGACAGCTCTGACCAGCTCAATTGCGGAACATGCTGAGATTGCTCGGTGGGGCCAGGCCCTACTCACGACCTCCTCGACGGACGAAGGCAACCCAAAACGGGACCCTGACCGCCGGGCCAGTACCTCAGGCAGAAAGAAGTGAGAGGCCGTGGCTGCTCCTCCTCCTCGGGGCCTGGAGGCTGCAAGACGTTGCCCCAGTGTCCAAGCCAGCCACTCTGTGCCCACAGAGGCCTGTGACCGTGGGAACTGCCTTTGCCAGACTTGAGATCATTTCAGAGCACAGGGAGGACTTTGGGAAGGGGGGCAGGCGAGGCCTGGCTTCTGTCATCCTGGAAAGCCAAAGCTCCCAAAGAGAAGATGAGAGCCAAGCTGACCCTGAAGACGGAGCTGCCTTGTCAGCTCCTTGCTTTAAATCTGGTGCCTGGTTGAACCAGTCAAAGCTGTGCAATCAGAGAACAGGGTGCAGTGGGTGTGGGGAAGGGACAAGAAGACCCATGCTTCCCATCTGCCAAGATCAACAGGGAGCGAGAACCAAGAGTGTAGCCTTCTTTGCTCAGTCTTGGTTGCCAAGAACAACCTGGCACTCTTTTTGGGTCTTGTTTCCTGGTGTCCCACCCAGTGGTGCATTGTCATCTGAACCTCAGCACCTGAGCCAAAAGCATCCATGGGCTCTTTCACTCCATCCCTTCTCTGAAATGTCTGCATCTCCCTTGCACTCGGCAGCCTCTGCCCGATCCCTTGAGATGGTGGGGTGCAGCCAACTTAAGGGGTGGCAGAGGAAGGCTACACCTTTAGTCTCTTCTGCCTTTTCTGGGGATGCCAAGGGGAAGCCTTGGAGAGCTCTTCAGAGCAGTCCCCTCCTTTCTTCTTTCCAGCTTCATGTCTTCCGATCAGTTGCAGAACCTGCACGAAACGGTGCTGCTGTGGGTGCAAAGTACTCCTCAAGCAGTGAGCGGAGCAGCTGGGCATATTTGCGAGCGCTCGCTTGGGCACTGTCCCGAATTGCTCTGCCTGTGTATCCTGCTCTCCATCTGTCTGTCTGCATCCATAGGCACTTCCTTTGACAAGATGCATTGCTCCAAAGCAAAATGCTCACATAGCCCCCTCACTGCTATCCCCACTACATGCAGATAGGAAGAGGAAGGGTCTGCTGTGGGCTGTACGTAGGTGGAGGAGGGAGTGCCAACCCAGTTCCCTTTCATTCACATCCAGGTCTGGTTTAGCTGCTGATTCTGCTTTGCAGCCATCTGTCTGTGTCTCTGATGCCCCTCTCCCTGTGTCCTCCCTCCATAGTAGCCTTGCAACAGTCCAGCGCTTTGAGTCAATCTACTTTTATGACCCCCTCAGGGATGGACTGCAAACATCGAAAGGGGAAGAGGGTGCCTGGGATGAGTATCTTTCTCCACAGGCCTCCCAAACATCAGGGAGACTCAAGGGTTCTGCTGCCCGCAGGGAGTGGCATCTTTGAGCTTGACCTGGAGCTTGGGACAAATTGACATCCAGAAGCCAGGGATGCCTCTTCTCAAGGCTGGGCAGCACACAGACAGCACAAGGTCACGTAACAGCAGCACAAGAGAGGGGTGACCAGGTAGATGCAGCTTTGCCACTGTTCTTAACAAGCCATAATCCCCTGCGACAAGGGAGGGGCTCGCCTCTTTCGGCACAGAGATGTATTTTTATGCAATAAGATGGCAGGCGAGCTGGAGATGACAAAGGAACACGGCAAAGTAGAGAACTTGCACCTGGATATGTGACAAGGCATCAGCTGCCTCCTGTCATGAGCTCCACCAAAGCCCGGGTCATTTAGCTGGGAGGCCTAGGGAGAGATTTGGTGTGCCTTTTGTCAACTGCCCAAACCCTTGAGGTTGTGGCAGTGAAGAGAGCACATGTTGAGCAACCTGATCCAGGTGGGACAAAGCCCAAAGCAGCCCAGGATAGTCGGGGTGTCATTTGGGGATGGGAAGTTCCTATAACCTTTCAGGTTTGATCCAGTGTAACAAGATGTATGACCTCAGCTCTGCTGATCTTTCTCCTACTACCAGAGAGGAAATGAGAATGCAACAGTGAGGTTTGATGACCTGCAACAAAGTTCAAATACGAAACCTCATGCCATTCTCGACGATCCTTTTCCATGAGAGGCAAAACATATCTTTCACGGCTTTGTTACGATGGGTCATGGCTGGGTAAGTTCAGCACCCTTGTGTGTTGAAGCCACACATTTCTGGCACTGAAAGTGATCAGAAGCTATACTTGCAAATCCCACCTGCTTCCACCACACGCTGGTGCCTCTCAGCAAATGTGAACGACAGACTTGCAGATCTTGAACGTGGTCTCGGGTGATCTTGCAAATAAAACGAACCATGTTGAGAGTCCGGGTGCCGTTGAGGCTCACTGTTGGCTTTGCCCTAAATCCTCACCCCGCAGGATGTGGTTTGGAGTCGGTTCCCACTCCCGAATCCAGCTGCATGCTCGATCAGTGAGAGACCCATGAATTAGCTATAAAGCCTGGTGGAACTCAGGTTGTTGAATCCTTGATCCTGTGATCTGATAAGTCGGGAGCAGCTTCTTCCAGCAGTATTACGTGTATCCAAAATGGGACCTGACCTGATCCGGCCTCCCTTGTTCCAGGTGTAGTTCCCACCTTGCTCCCCTGAAGCCGGGGCAGATTCATCTGTTAATGCTTCCGCTCCCCTCGCCTTCCTTGATTGTTCAGAAGCCTGTAAAATATTGTAATTGCTTTAAATAAGGGTTTCTTTCTTTTCTTCTTTTTTTGTCTTGTATAGAAAAAGAATCACCAAAATTGGAGCATTTGGGGTTGCATTTTTCTCTTTTCTCTTTGGCTGTAAATCTTTCTGAAGACTTGTGTTTTTCAAAACAGAGACCAATTTGTAAAGATTTCAGATTTTTGGTTGCATGAGATCGAAAGATTGGCCCTTCGGGCTTGCGTGCTTCTTCATGCCCCTGGCAGTCTCATCAACATCTTCAAAAGTGGTTTTTCGAGAGGTTATCCTGCCCCCAGAAATATAGGATGAATGAATGTCCCAGAAAAGAGTTGGTAGGTTACAAAGTCCAGACTGAGCCCCCTTCCACACTGTCATATAAAATCCAGATTATCTGCTTTAAATATAGCAGTGTAGACTCATATCTGCTTTGATAATCTGGATTATCTGATAATCTGGATTATATGACAACGTAGAAGGTGTGGCATAATTAAAATCACACTTAGTTCATGTTTTATCAGTCCACACACTGTCTTGCCAGAGAGAAAAAATATATACCATGCAGATTATGACTAAAGAACAAGTAGTTTACTCTTCGTAATGCAGAGCAACATATATATATAATCATGTGAACAGTTGCATTAACTCACAGTGTCCTTTGAGAGAGATTCAAATGGTCTTTCTGTGTCCATGTGGAAAATCTTCTTCCAGCAGCTCATGAAGCAAAAACAGTCTCTCTCTCTCTCTCTCTCTCTCTCTCTCTCTCTCTCTCTCTCTCTCTCTCTCTCTGCAAGCTCCTGCACAGCTGAAATCTAAAAATGTAACCATTGCCAAAACTCCCAGGCTCAGCTAGCTCCCCACTTTAACTGCCATGGCACAAGGCTGTGGGATTTGTAGTTGTGTGAAACACCAGCACTCTTGGACAAAAAAGGCTGTATACCAGTGGTTCTCAACCTGTAGTAAAGGTAAAGGTTTCCCCCTGACATTAAGTCTTGTCATGTCCGACTCTGGGTGTTGGTGCTCATCTCCATTTCTAAGCCGAAGAGCTGGCGTCCGTAGACACCTCCAAGGTCATGTGGCCAGCATGACTTCATGGAGCGCCATTACTTTCCCACCAGAGTGGTACCTATTAATTTACTCACATTTGCATGTTTTCGAACTGCTAGGTTGGCAGAAGCTGGGGCTAACAGCGGTAGCTCATGCCGTTTTCCAGATTCAAACCTGTGACCTTTCAATCAGCAAATTCAGCAGCTCAGTGGTTTAAGCCAGTGTGCTACCGGGGCTCCTCTCAACCTGTGGACCCCCAGCCGTTTTGGCCTTCAACTCCAAGAAATCCTAACTGGCTGAGATTTCTGGGAGTTGTAGGCCAACCCACAGGTTGACAACCACTGCTGACAACCACTGCAAAACCGCAACTTCCAGGATTCCGTAGCATTGAGCATGGCAGTTAAACTAGTGTCAAACCACATTAATTCTTTGGTGGGAATGCATCCTGGATGTACTTCTTAAGATGCATGAAGTTCTTAGATATTTATAGGCAGAATGTGGGAATAGCCATAGCTATGCAAAACCTGTGGCGATGATGGTATGTGTTGGGAGACAAAGGAAGAAAGATCTTGTCTAAAGCCAAGATGAGTGGATAAATATATTGATGGTGGGGTGAGTACTGGAATGTAATGGGATGCTGGCTGGGAACCAGAACCAGATGTGATAAACTGGGCAAGAGAGTCTTGGGATTGGGTGGTTGATTAGTGTTGTGTGTGGCTCTATGTCCAATACTTCCTCCGTCATCACAATGGCCTGTCATAAGATTCTGCAAAACCCACTAAGGAAGCAAGCCCAGAATCCTGATTAGGAGAGAGAAGACTCCTTTAGCCATCATGGGTCAGTATCACCTACATCTCCATATTCCCCAACACCTCACAGGTGAAAACTAGGAACCACATAGCCAAGCAACATGAGACAGCAATCAAGATGCCAAAAGAATAAAAGTTCGGCCACAATACGTTGCTCATGTGTGAAGCCACAAATTGGGAGGCTGTAGCGGTTTATTTTTGCCCAAGCCTACTGGGAAGGGCCAATTCCAAGCCCTACTCAAGTCCCGTCCACACAGCCGCATATCCCAGAATATCAAGGCAGAAAATCCCACAATATCTGCTTTGAACTGTCCAAAGTGTGGACTCAGATAATGTAGGATTTTCTGCCTTGATATTCCCCAGAATATAGGGCTATGTGGAAAGGCCTTTAACCAGTACTGGATCTACACTGCCATATAATCCAGTATCTGATCCCTGATTATGTGCTTTGAACTGAATTATATGCAACTAGATCGACACTGCTATATAATCCAGATCATCAAAGCAGATAATCCAAATTATCTACACTGAACTGAATTATGTAAGGCCCCATTCTATGGGCGCTTCCACACAGCCGTATAACCCAGAATATCATGGCTGAAAATCCCACAATATCTGCTCTGAAGTGGGATATCTGAGACCACACTGCCACATATTCCAGTTCAATGCAGGTAATGTGGGATATTATTCAGCTGTGTGAAACAGGCCTACATTGCCATAAGGTAAAGATAAAGGTTTTCCCCTGACATTAAGCCCAGTTCTGTCTGACTCTGGGGTGTGGTGCTCATCTCCATTTCTAAGCTGAAGCGCCAGCGTTGTCCGTTGACACCTCCAAGGTCATGTGGCCAACATGACTGCATGGAGTGCCGTTACCTTCCCGCCGGAGCAGTATCTATTGATTTACTCGCATTTGCATGTTATGAAGTGCTAGGTTGGCAGAAGCTGGTGCTGACGGTGGAAGCTCATGCTGCTCCCCTGATTCGAACCTGCGACCTTTTGGTCAACAAGCTTAGCAGCTCAGTGCTTTAACCCACTGTACCACCAGGGGCTCCTTACATTGCCATATAAAATCCATATTATCTGCTTTGAACTGGATTATATGGCAGTATAGACTCATATAATCTAGTTCAAAGCAGATAATCTGAATTATCCACTTTGATAATCTTAATTATATGGCAGTGTGGGTACAGCTTCAGTTCCAAAGCAGACAATCTGGATTTTATATGGCAGTGTTAATGGCCCTGGGTGTACACTGCTATATAATCCAGTTCAAATCAGGTCAGATACTGGATTGTATGGTAGTGTAGATGGGGCCTGAATGTGGATTACTTCTCCATCTGTGGAAGGCTGGATTATCCGGCAGTGTGGACTCATATAATCCAGTTCAAAGCAGATAATCTGGGATCAGATCCTAGGGTATAGGGCAGTATAGATCCTGCCTAAGGCCCCTTCTACACAGCCATATAAAATTCAGATTATCAAATTCAATAATCCACATTATATGAGTCTACACTGACATACAATCCAGTTTAAATCAGATAATCTGGACTTTATATTGCAGTGTAGAAGGGGCCAAAGTAAATTGAGGACATGGCAGGAGTGGGAGGAGGGAAACGGGATATTTTAAAAAGAGCTGAAAGGCAGAAGATAAATCCGGACCAAGCAAATTGGGACAGTTAAAGAAGCACTGCCTGAACATCAAGCAAAAAGTGGGTGCTAGAAACAATATCATACGAAAGCTGACTGGCACAACCTGGGGATCACAACCAGATACAGTGAAGACATCTGCCCTTGTGCTTTGCTACTCTGCTGCTGAGTATGCATGCCCAGTGTGGAACACATTTCACCACGCTAAAACAATAGATGTGGCTCTTAATGAGACATGCCGCATTATCTGCGCCCTCCACCACTGGAGAAATTACACTGCTTAGCCGGTATTGCACCACCTGACATCCGCCGGGAAGTAGCAGCCAATAGTGAAAGGACCAAGGCAGAGACATCTCCAGCTCATCCCCTGTTTGGGTATCAGCCAGCACGTCAACGACGTAAATCTAGAAATAGTTTTCTAAGATCTACAGAGACACTCGCTGGAACACCTCAGCAAGCGAGAGTCCAAAAGTGGCAGGCTCAAACCCAGAACCTCAATCCATGGCTGATACCAAATGAGAGACTCCCCCCTGGGCACACAGAGGACTGGGCGACTTGGAAGGCGCTGAACAGACTGCGCTCTGGCACCACGAGATGCAGAGCCAACCTCAAGAAATGGGGCTACAGGGTGGAATCCTCGACATGCGAGTGTGGAGAAGAGCAAACCACTGACCACCTGCTGCAATGCAACCTGAGCCCTGCTACATGCACAATGGAGGACCTTCTTGCAGCAACACCAGAAGCACTCCAAGTGGCCAGATACTGGTCGTTGTTCATTCATTCAGTCGTCTCCGACTCTTCGTGACCTCATGGACCAGCCCACGCCAGAGCTCCCTGTCGGCCGTCAACACCCCAGCTCCTTCAAGGTCAGTCCAGTCACTTCAAGGATGCCATCCATCCATCTTGCCCTTGGTCGACCCCTCTTCCTTTTTCCTTCCACTTTCCCCAGCATAAAACAACAACAAGGCTTTGCTGTCTCCTCATGATGTGGCCAAAGTACTTCAACTTTGTCTCTAGTATCTTTCCCTCCAGTGAGCAGTCGGGCTTTATTTCCTGGAGGATGGACTGGTTGGATCTTCTCGCAGTCCAAGGCACTCTCAGAACTTTCCTCCAACACCACAGTTCAAAAGCATCGATCTTCCTTCGCTCAGCCTTCCCTAAGGTCCAGCTCTCACATCCGTAGGTGACTACAGGGAAGACCATGGCTTTGACTATGCGGATCTTTGTTGCCAGTCTGATGTCTCTACTCTTTACTATTTTATCGAGATTGGACATTGCTCTCCTCCCAAGAAGTAAGCGTCTTCTGATTTCCTGGCTGCAGTCTGCATCTGCAGTAATCTTTGCACCTAGAAATACAAAGTCTGTCACTGCCTCCACGTTTTCTCCCTCTATTTCCCAGTTGTCAATCATTCTTGTTGCCATAATCTTGGTTTTTTATGTTTAGCTGCAACCCAGCTTTTGCACTTTCTTCTTTCACCTTGATTAGAAGGCTCCTCAGCTCCTCCTCGCTTTCGGCCATCAGAGTGGTGTCATCTGCATATCTGAGGTTGTTAATGTTTCTTCCAGCAATTTTCACCCCAGCTTTGCATTCATCAAGCCCCGCACATCCTCGCATGATGTGTTCTGCATACAAGTTAAAAAGGTTGGGTGAGAGGATGCAGCCTTGCCGGACGCCTTTCCCAATCTTGAACCAGTCTTCTGTTCCGTGGTCAGTTCTGACTGTTGCTACTTGGTCCTTGTACAGATTGCTCAGGAGAGAGACAAGGTGGCTTGGGATGCCCATCCCACCAAGAACTTGCCACAATTTAGTATGATCCACACAGTCAAAGGCTTTAGAATAGTCAATGAAGCAGAAGTAGATGTTTTTCTGAAACTCCCTGCCTTTCTCCATTATCCAGCATCTGGATGTTGGCAATCTGGTCTCTGGTTCCTCTGCCTTTTCTAAACCCAGCTTGATACTTTGACCAGATACTGGTCAAAGGACATTTAATCAACTACCAAACTCACAAATTTTGTATTTTGTATTTTTGTATCTTGTCTGTTTGTTTGCTTTGTTCTGTTAGAAATGTAATCTAATTGACTGGTTGCTGATGACTCGATAAATAGATAAATCACAGAAGCAAAACCAGTGGGTTGTGATTCTCAACAAATTTGAAGACAACTGCTATAGCCAATAGGAAGGCAAGATAGGCTGGCTTTTTTAACCAATCGCCAGGCGGCTTGAAGGGGCGGGATCAATGCCATTTATAGCCGTGGATGGTTGTTTATGTATGTGGGGAATCACTTGACCCAATGACAGAGCGAGAGGGCGGAACTTTTACTCACGTTGGAACCAATGAGCAAACGAGGGTACGTCTCGACCAATCCATTTTCGAGATAGGCGGGACTATGTGGTCTGAGGCCAATTGGAGGGGGAATTGGGAAATCTCGCGTCCAATGGCTTCGCGAGGGAGGCGGGGTTTCGATGAAGAGTCCGGAAGTAGGAAGCGGAGCGGCTTGGGGATGGCGGCGGGGGCTGCTGCTGCTGCTGCTGCCGGAGCAGAACTGATCCAGCTAAACGTCGGCGGCAGAAGGCAAGAGATCCTCAACGGGGTCGCCTAGGAAACCGCCTTGGCCACGCCTCCGGAAGGGAGGAGCTTTAAGAGGAAAGATCATAGTAGTGGGGAGAGTGGGAGAGGCATAATGTGGCCCAGTCTGTGTATATGTGTTTTGTGTGTATATAGAATCATAGAATCAAAGAGTTGGAAGAGACCTCATGGGCCATCCAGTCCAACCCCCTGCCAAGAAGCAGGAATGTTGCATTCAAATCACCCCTGACAAATGGCCATCCAGCCTCTGCTTAAAAGCTTCCAAAGAAGGAGCCTCCACCACACTCCGGGGCAGAGAGTTCCACTGCTGAACGGCTCTCACAGTCAGGAAGTTCTTCCTAATGTTCAGATGGAATCTCCTCTATTGTAGTTTGAAGCCATTGTTCCGCGTCCTAGTCTCCAGGGAAGCAGAAAACAAGCTTGCTCCCTCCTCCCTGTGGCTTCCTCTCACATATTTATACATGGCTATCATATCTCCTCTCAGCCTTCTCTTCTTCAGGCTAAACATGCCTGAATTTATTATTATTATTATTATGAATTTATTATTATTATTTATTTCGAGGTTTTATATACCGACCCTCTCACCTTCGAAGAGGGATTCGGACCGGTTCACAACATGTGTTAACATACAAAGAATATACAATAACAACACAATGCCACTTCATTACACGATTAAAATATCAGCACCATACACATTAAAACATTATCATCCCAGTTAAAAGAGCCAAATCGTCCGACACCATCACAATCCCATTCATCATCCTCCTTTCATGTGGGCAAAGAATTAAATCAGTTGTCAAATGCCGCGTTCCACAACCAGGTCTTTGTTAGTTTCCTGAACGTCATGAGGGAGGGGGCAGTTCTGATCTCTAATGGCAGGGAGTTCCAAAGTCGAGGGGCCACCATCGAGAAGGCCCTGTCCCTCGTCCCCACCAGCCGTGCTTGTGCAGGTGGTGGGACCGAGAGCAGGGCCCCTCCAGATAATTTTGATGGTTCGTAGGGGAGAATACGTTCGGAGAGGTAAACAGGGCCGGAGTCGTTTAGGGCTTTATAGGTTAACACCAGCACTTTGAATTGTGCTCGGAAGCTAATCGGCAGCCAGTGGAGTTCGAGTAACAGCGGAGTGGTGTGCTCCCTGTACCCTGCACCCGTTAGTAATCTGGCTGCCACGCGTTGTACTTGCTGCAGCTTCCGGGCAGTCTTCAGAGGCAACCCCACGTAGAGAGGCCAATGCAGCCTCTGTTTAAAAGCTTCCAAAGAAGGAGCCTCCACCACACTCCGGGGCAGAGAGTTCCACTGCTGAACAGCTCTCACAGTCAAAAAGCTCTTCCTCATATATTTGTGTATATGTGTGTTTGCATGATATATATATATATATGTTGTTTGAAACATGCATTGTAATGTAATTTTTGTTTTTCGGCTTTTTAAGTCTCTTCTGCTGTGTTTTTCACTGTTTTTATGAGTGATGATCACTCGTTGGCCTGATAGGTGTATTGTGTCCAAATTTGGTGTCAATTCGTCCAGTGGTTTTTGAGTTCTGTTAATCCCACAAACAGACATTACATTTTTATTTATATAGATTACTAGCTGTGCCCTGCCACGCGTTGCTGTGGCACAGTCTGGTGATCTGGAAATAAAGTAATTAGAAAGTGTTGGTTTATGACTTATGTAATTTCTTTCTGCTTGTAGGTAAACAGTATTTCTTGCTGTTTCTTTGTCAGTGTTGATGTGGAGATTGTCTGGTTTGCCTACTCAGATCATCATCATCATCATCATTTAATAACTTATTAATCGCCCTCCATCCGAGAATGCTCCAGGCGATTTACAGCTAAATTGTAAAAGATAAAATACATACATACAAAATTTAAAAATTAACAGAGATCGAATGCTCTAGTAAAAAGCCAGGTCTTAAGTGCGAGAGTAAAAGGTCTTAAGTCACGCATGGCTCTCATATAGGGTGGCAAGGAATTCCACAAGGCAGGGGCAGAAATAGAAAAAGCCCTGAGCCTGGTCCTTTCCAAGTGCACTTCTCTAGGACCCGGTATATAGAGTAAGTCATGTTGGGCTGGTCGTTGCGACCTCCGATGATGGGAGAAGGAGAGGCAGTCCCTAAGGTACAATGGACCCTGGCCGTAAAGAGTTTTAAAGGTCAGAACTAGCATCTTATACAGGCCATGGTACTCAGTTGGAAGCCAATGTAAATGTTGCAGCACTGGTGTTATATGGCATTTCATGGGCGTTCTTGTGAGTAACCTGGCTGCCGCATTCTGAACAATATGAAGCTTTCGGGTCGTAGACATCGGAAGGCCCACATACAGGCCATTGCAATAGTCCAGCCTAGACGTGCCCGTGGCATGGATGACAGTTGCCAGAGCCTCCTCAGATAGGTAGGGTGCCAGTTGCCTCGCTTGTCGTAGATGGAAAAAGGCCTGTTTGCTGGCAGCGCGACCTGAGCTTCCATTGTCAGCTGTGAATCCAGGACGACACCTAAGCTCTTAACAGTGGTCGATGGAGATAGGGCGGCACCATCGAAGGTGGGTAATGGAGGAGTCAGACCTGCCGGGCGACCATGCCAGAGAATCTCAGTCTTCGCCGGGTTCACCTTCAGTCTGCTAGCACATAGCCAGTTTGACAGAGCTTCCAGACATAGGGTGAAATTGTCTGGAATTGACGTTGATCCAGGCTTCAGGCGCAGAAGGAGTTGGGTATCATCCGCATATTGGTAGCAGTCCAGGCCGAAACTCCAAGCCAAACTAGC